ATTTAGAAAAAATTGATAAATATGAGAAGAAAAAAAATCTTATATTTAGGACTAAAATTAACTTAATCATTAGGTCATATATTAAGAACTGGAGGAGTATCTCATTACAGTCTGACTATTTCACAACATTAATTACACCGTTAATTAATTAATCAAAACAAGCAAATGAAAAAATTTACAATAATGATGATGCGTTGGGTTCTCAAATTGAGGTGGAACAAGTTTCAGTACTTATCACTTTGATAAGCACTCTAAACTTATCAGATCTAGTTGGTCCATATCTTATTTAGATGGTCTAAATCTGATTTCTTTTTAATTTTTATTTATTCAAAATAATTATTTTAATATGTATAAAATCTAAAATAGAGATAATCTCTTAACTATCATTCTTTCAAAAAAATAATTTTTTTACTTAAAAATAATTAATTAAAAATTTTAAATCTGGACCATTCAAATTAGATATAGATGGTCCAGATCTGATGAACTTAGATCTCGTTTGGTACGAAGTATTAAAAATGAGGGATATAGATTACGATTGTAATTGAAAAAAAATATTAAAAAAGTCTTTAGTATGAGTAATTATTTGTTACATGGAATTAGGCAAACTCATGAAAGTAGGATTGGGGAATACCACTTCTTCCCATGGTATTCTTTAATCCCGCATATATGGGTTTGTTTAATCCTATGTAATAAGTAATTTCTTATGCTCAATCTAAATTCCAATTCACATTCCTCATTTTCAATACTTTGTAGCAAACGGCACCTTAAGGTTCTTATCAAGGTGATAATCACTGAAACTAGTTCTGACGTGACCTCAAGAGTTTTCTCGCTGAGGGCATTGTAGTATGCCTGAGGGTTTTGATTGCCAGAGGGATATAAATTGTGCAGAAGTAAACCAGCAAGACCCTATGAGATTTTTGTAAGTGAAAATTAAAACTTGAAGAACAGAGAAGGGATATTATGAATTCAGTTGATGCTTTAAAGATTGATGACCTCGTATTGCCCAGGACTGTTGATGGGAAAGACAAGGTTGGCAGCTCTGAACCTCTGGTTACCTTCAACATTAGCAGTATAAATCAGAGACCCCGCCAGAAACCTAACCAAGTCACCTTCCTCCAGGTGGAAGGTCTCTCTGTTAGTCTGGTTCGCAATACTAGCAATGGCCCTTCCTGTAATATACTACCTCCTATCTTTAATATAAGACTTTGATTGATTTTTATTTTGATCCTAAATATAATATCCTAATCTATTTTGTCTCTCATATTTATGTATTTTTTTCCCAAAGTAGTCCTTCTAGCAATGGTAATTCTAGCCAATACATTTGATTAGCAAGGATATTTTAAGAAAGACAATACCTATTTATTACAAATAACTAACTTAACTTCTTTTCTTAATCTCCTCAAATTAGTCAACTAGCTCTTATAATTAGGATCAGAGTTAGTACTCCTCCGGTCCTTAATATAATACCAAATTGTTGAGTTGTTTTAGTCCTAAATATAAGACTCATTTCTCATATTTATCAATTTTCTTTAAATTACTCTTATGGATACTCCCTCAACCATAATCAAGTAGAAGAGGAAGATGAGGTATTAAGAAAGATGATTATGGCATTTTAGAAAAAACGTGTCACATTTCTTATAATTAACTAACTTACCTAACTTTTTTGATCTAATCAAATTAGTTAAATGGGTCTTATATTAAGGATACTTCATTATGGTTGATTGATGAGAATATATTTATCTACCATTATTATGAATGAACAAGGCTGTCTCAAACTTGGCTTCGAGGACGACAATGAGAGCTTCAGCATCGCGATGGTGGGGGAGAAAGAGAGAATGTGGTTGTAATTCAAACTCGACATATCGATAGTTTCGGAGCCAGCGGAGGTGGTGCGATCTCCGGTCGAACCTTGGGAAGACTCGGACGCGACCACGTTCATTGTGGAAGCGGGTTTGAAAGCTATGAGATCGGAAGTGATAAGGATCCTGATTCTGAGAACCTTGTCCTTCCTCTTCATGTTCTCGACAATGGTGGTTCCCATGTGGTTCTCGGCTATCTTCTTCTTCTTGTTCTTCTTCTTCCTCTCCCTCTCCCTCCCGACGACGTCGTCTCTCTTCTTCTCGCTTCTTTCTTTTCTCCTCACGTTCTCGCCGTTCTTCTTCTCGTTCTCATCGACGTTCTTCCTCTCGTTCTCCCTCTCGTTCTCGATGACGTTCTTTCTTCTCTCTGCTTTCTTTCTTCCTCACGTCGACGTTGTTCCTCTTCTCGTTCTCGACGACGTCGTTCATCTCGCCGCTTCCTTTCCTCCGCACGTTCGCGCAGTTCTTCTTCTCGTTCCTTAATTCCTTGACCATGTCCTTGCTCCTGGCAAATGCATATATGTATAACAACATCATTTTGATATATTACATTACTGAATCATTCAACTGATGCTACCCAGTTGTTAACATAAAAACTACTTAATCAATTTGAATACATTAAAAAAATTAGTTAAGTTAGTTAATTATTTATAATAAATATGAGATGATTTTCTTAAATACCCATTTTAATTATGAGTACCTTGAATGAAAACCCCTTGATATATGTATAATCATAACTGCAGTTTAGAAAATGAATTACAAATTTGGAAAACAAAATATAGAGATTTTAATTATATTTAAAATGAAGTTCAATTTCCAAATAGCTATATGTTAAGGATCGGAGGTTCTACATGAACTTAAGTAATTACCAGTGGATCACGTTCAAGTTCCATGTCGTTGATGAACCTACAATGACCACCACTATAAAAAAAATTGACTTTCAAAGTCGCCGTTAAAAAGTCGTTGCCGTAGCTGAAAACTTTCAGCGACAACTAAAAAAGTCACCGCTGAAAGATACTTTCAGCGGTGACTTTTAGAAGTTTCAGCGGCAACATTTTGGTGTCGCCGCTGAAAGTCCAATTTCAGCAGTGACTTTTTTTGTCACCACCGAAAATCGTCGCCTAAAGTTTTTTTTTTTGTAGTGCACGGCAAGCAAAGTTATGATATGCATCAATATTTTTTTCAAGTTCACATCTTTTGACACAAAGGTGGCTTTGAGGATTCTGGTTTTCCCAGAAGGCAAGGCCAACAGAGACAGAGGTCACTGCCAGGAAAAGTGAACCCAGAAAAAACAGCAACAGAGGCTGCCTCGCTTACAACAGTGTGCCACAAGAAGAAGCCATCGTTAGTAAATATATACCCGTCGATGCATTATATAGAAGCAGATCATGACGGAGATGGTTTCGTACGTGCGTAAGGTTTGATTCAGATCTCATGCATGAAGGACATGTGGACTTGAAGTGGCGATGTTTCGTTTCGTGAAGATATAATAATCTGATACATTGAACATGGTACAGTATACATATGTAGGATACTACGTTGTGAACAGATACAGAAACACTGTAAGTTATCATCATATTGCATTGCTCGCATGTCCTTATCCTAATGAATTCAGGAGATCCATAAGGATGCTACTATATATATGGCAGGGCCCAACTAACATGATGAAGAGAAATTAAAATTGAATCATCAAGTTTATATATTTTTACCAACAGATAATTAGGTCTAGCAGAAGAACATAGTTCCTCACAACATAACAAACTAATGTTCAAATTCTCACTGTGAGAGGTGCTAACATTCAGTGCCTCGAATAGAATTGTCTATACGTAGAAAAAAAGGTTTGTGTATTTTTGTGGTAGGTTCTGTTTCTGATATAAGAGGTAAGAAATAAAATTGTTAAATTAAAGAGTTCAGTGAGATGAAGAATAATTATGATTGTGAAGAACGCTCGGAAAATCCAATTCTGATTAGCGACCGAATATTGTACATTTGAATGATTATGAATGTAGTATAAATTCATAGACAATAGCACATATCTTAGAGCTTTTAGTTTCATTTCCATGTTTTAAATTAATGACCCCTTTTAAATCTTAGTGATGAATTAATTAAAATAGTCCCTGAAATGCATGGCTTGATTGCTATATATTCTAATGAAACTTGAAACTAAGCTATTACCGACATAAACCATATGTAGATATATATAGTAAGAAGATCAGGATCGGAAATGGCATCATGAATGTGATCAAACAGTGGAGAGATCCAGTGATGGCTTCCAGAGAACCAAAATGAAGACATAACAAGTCATGGCGTTGATGTTTAATGTACTGTAGCCAGAAGTACGCTTTGGTCTTTTTAACATTATAAAGTTTTAGTTTAATTTCTTAATTTTATAAAATATCCCTTCAAGTCTTTTAATAACACCGTTTGCCTCAAACAACATTTTTTAAGGGTAAAAGTATAGTCAGCACCCCGATCTTACTTCTTAGGTGCATTTAGCCCCCTGCTCTTATTTCTTGAAAGCATTTAGCACCCTGACGTTATTTTCTCAACATTCTAATTTTGTTTTTTTTTTTGTTGGAACTCAGCATTCTAATTTTAGAATGCTAAATGCATTAAAAGATTAGGGTTCTGGATATACCTTAACTCTGTTTTTTAGTAGTCATTATTATTTTGAAAATCAATTGTATATTGAAAAGAATTTATCAAATTTTAATGTCAGTATTTTTTTCAGTTAACGGTGGTATGACTAAAAGAGTAGAAAAATTAAAAAAATTAAAAAATTAAAAAGACTAAGATAAACCTTAGTTAAAATTAGGAAAACTAAATGTATACTTGTAATGTATTTTACATAGTATAAAATGCATCTGTTTATACAGATAAGAGTTTGATCTAGTGAAAGAAACTAATTTCTGACAACTTGACAAATCAAAATTCGAATTCTTATTAAGAAAATTATTCACATTTAATGTTTTGATGATCTATCAAACAAAACTATTTCATACCGGAGGAAATAAAACGTGTTTATTCATGTGTTGAGCTATTCAAACGGGACAAGCTATAAGGACATTTAATTGTGTGACTTGTGTCGTTATTGGCCAAGTCCCAGGTAACACAAAAATGCTCAATTCGCCACGTTTATGGAGATGTTGCTGAGTTATCAACTCAGATTTTGTATTATGCACAGAGAATATAAAGGATATAAAGACAAGAAGCATAATGATCAAGAAATGAAAAAACATTGATGTGCATGATGACAAAGTTATAAGATCCAGAGATATGCTTCACAGCCTGCTCGATCAGTTATCACAAGGGAATCTTGGGTTGTGTGCGTGTATATATATAGTGTACATATAAGTATTTGAGAGTTTGTTTTTATCTCAATGCCACTCCAGAACTACTAAAAATAAAGAGTAATTAATATTGCCCCAAGCACTTAAAAAACTAATGTTGGACCATTAACATTTCTTTGACCGCTCTAGCAATATTGCTTCTTTTTTTATACTTTGAGGACGATATTAGGTTTAAAAAAATAATTCTTAGAGATTGTACTACGTGACTGTATATTGATTGCGTGTGTTGAACACTCGCATGAATTGATAATGGCTCATTTATTCTTTGCGGATTATGCTGAACACAAGATTGACCCAGGGCTTATTTGTTATTGTTTTTTGCTTTTCGCTTTTTCTCTAAATTTTTGCAAACAAGTTTTAAGAATAAAAAAATGTTTAGATAATTATTTTAAAAAATTTATATTTGGCAAGTGATGGCTGTCAGCCTGTCGTTGACATGGCGGGGTAGGCAAGAAGGAAGAAGATTTCTCCAATTTTCTAAAACAGAAAATAAAAAAAATACAAAAACAAAAATAATAAAATATCTAAAAAAAAATTTACTTTTTATTTTTTAAAAACTTATTATTGTTTTTTTTTGTTTTTAGAAACAACCAACTAAAAATAAATTATCAAACAAGCTTTCTTATTGTTTTTAAGTAAAAAAAAATTTTCCAAAACAATGAATTAACCAAACAGCCAGAAACTGAAAATAATCAAAATAGGCTGTCAGGTCGCAAAAAATGGGCTGGCTCACTGCAATTTATGGGCCATGGGCCTGTGGGAATTTTTCCAACCCACTCATTATAGGTGCGTTACAGGTTGATCCACCAACTCACTTTTTTTAAATATTTTAAATTAAATTATAACCTTTTATGGATCAAGTTCAAGTTATTTCATATTTTCATGAAGTGATACTACCCCCTATCCTTAATATAAGAGCTAGTTTAATATTCAATTTGATCCTAAATAAAACCACAATTTACTTTGTCTCTTATATTTATCTATTTTTTCCAAAATAGTCATTATAATAGTTGTACATGTTCAATGTTTCATCAAATAATATTTTTAGCTAAGACATATGATTAACAAGAACATTTTAAGAAAAATAACACCTATTTGTTACAAATAACTAATTTAACTAATTTTTTTAATCTTTCCAAATTAGTTAATTAGGTCTTATGTTAAATATCAGAGATAAGATAATTAGTATAACTCCAAACATGCAAATATATAAGTTAGAGAACTAATTTGTGGGATTAAAAAATTTAATTAAATTATTTATTTATAAAAAAATTTGATATTGATTTTCATTAAAAAAAAATTTATACCCAGGCAGCTAAACCTCATTACTAGAATGCATGACAGCTGCCTCATAAAATGTTCTTTTTCATCAATTGCATAAGAAACGAGGTAAAAAATTCTTTTAATATATGTAATCCATGGGGGAGATTTTTAAAAAATACTTTTTAATTTAAGAAATAACATGAATTGAAATGTTGTATCTATGACCAAAATAAATTTTTTTAACTAGCTCTTATATTTATATATGAAAAGATGTAACAAATCTAGCCTTTTAGCATGTGAATCTCATAAAAGTAGAGGATCCAAAACTATAATTATTCATTATCATAAATAAGCTTTAAATGATCCAAAACTATCTTCCTAATCAATGTTCAATATTCCCCTCTATTCTTTTCATAAGATCTCAATTTTTGAATTTGCTTGATCTTTTTTATAACATTCTTAACTAAAGGTGTCTGAATATTAAATTTATATTTACCAATTTTGTGTGTAATTAATTTTTTATTTTTTTTCTCATACTTTATTTTCTTTCATCTTTTATCTTATCGTTAGTACTACCTCAGGTCCTTAATATAAGATTCTGTTTGATTTTTATTTTGATCCTAAATATAAGACCCCAATCCACTTTGTCTCTCATATTTATACATTTTTCTTCAAAGTAGCCCTTCTAACAATGATAGTTCTAGTCAATATACTTAATTAATAAGGATATTTTAAGAAAGACAACATTTATTTAAGACAAATAACTAACTCAATTTACTTTCTTAATCTCCTCAAATTAGTTAACTGACTCTTATAATTAGGACCAGAGGTAGTATTTCCTTATTTTATTTGTTCTCTCATTAAATAGACAACTATTTGAAAAAAAAGATTTAATTTTTACATATTCATTGATTTTAATTATTTTTTAAAAGAATTCTATAAAAAGAACAGGATGGAGTATATCATAAATTCATAAGTGCATTGTGACTCTTTCCCATTATTAATGCTATTAACTTTACATATTTTCATTTTCTATATATCCCCATTAAATGCATTGGTATTACTTTAAATTCTTCACCCTATAAAATCTCACATAACATGCATCTAGTCCACCCAATTCAAACGCAAGCTGTTCTCTGAGAAATGAAAGATCAAATGGTCCATTTCTCATTAATTATTTCTCCAATTCTAGTCCTGCTCACATTCACTTCAGGTTCTCTCCCCCTCCTTGTTTTCCCCTTCACTATATCATTTTCTATTTCTCTTATATATTCTTATTATTGTCCTTATTTATAAGACACCTTTAATCATCTCACCAAAATCAAGAAAGAGAATTAAGTTATTAATTTTGTCTAAAAATATTGTTTGTTCGTGTTCAGTGATAAATGCATGCGAACTAGCTACCATTGGAGGAGGTTGCCCAGATATAAAGGAATGCACGGAGACCTGTCGTCCTTGTTACCGGGGCGTGGGTGAAGTTCACGTCTATTGCCGACCGGCCGGTGCCGGAATTCCATATGATGAGTGTGTTTGTAGCATGCAGAAAGGTGCTTCGTGTAATGTCACCGGTTCTCCTAAATGCCCCAGGCCATGGCCGCCTCCACCATCTTCCGCAAAGAGCAATGTTAATGGAACTGTTATAATATTGGATTAACGCCAATATTGTATTCACATGATAGAAACTTGCTTGATGGTGAAAA